AATCATTTGATTAATTATGCTGAACTTTGTGATCTTGTAAGAGATCTAGCACTGACAAAAGCGCAAGCAGAGCTGCTTGGTTCACGTTTGAAGGAATTTAACTTACTTGCACCTAGTACAGCAACATCGAATTTTCGTCACAGGCATAAAATTCTTGTTCAATACTTTGAAATGAGTGATAATAATATTTGCTACTGTACAGATGTGGATGGTCTTATGTCGAGTTTTGGGATTAAACATATTATTGAAGAAAGGCTGTTCATCGGCTCGTCAAAAACTTGTTTGAAGGCAGTATTGTTGCACAACGGAAATAGGTATGCATCAATACCAGTAGACTATTCTACCCATATGAAAAATAGTTTGAATAAAAAAAATCCCTTACGTGTTATAATAATAAATTAAAATACAAAATTTAAAGCGAAGTTATTTCAAAAATGGGACATAATAGAAAAAATCGGTTTGCATATTTGAAATCAGCATGTTCAAATTTACTTAGATGGATTATTGTATGCCAAGATATCTGCAAAAAGATTTTTTTTGTTGTTCAGTGTTATTGTTTATTATCTTATACTCAAATTTTACAATTTGTCTTAGTAAATTTTTATCACCAAAATTGAGTCTGTTTAAAATTGAAACTTTATTTTTATTAACAAACATTTTATTAAAATTATTGCAGATAGATCTATTTCGACGTTAAACCGTCATCGGTTTATTATTAATGCATTATTTATTAATTTATTGATTATTATTATAATAGTTTTAATCATTAAACTTTACTTTTAGGATTTCTTTTAACCTCTCAACAAAAACCCCAGACAAAAAATTCGCAGTGTATTATCAATCGCGCAAAGCGCGACAAAATCAAAATTAAAGAAATATAGTTTCTTTACATATATACAAATAAATTTAAAAAAAAAATGAAATTCTAATGAAAAATTTTATAAAGCGCGACAAAATCAAAATTAAAGAAATATAGTTTCTTTACATCTACCCTCCTGAGAAAGAAAATTCACATGAGGGATTTTCTGCCAGAATCACGCTTTTATCTATTTTTTTTCATTTGTATCCTCCTCAACTTCATCTTTTGTTATCTGTACTGGAATTAATTTTGAAATATGAAATAAGTTTGACTCTGTTTTCCTGTGTCCTGTATCTATCTCATAAATGGTATCTGATTTTTTTTCTATTTTATATGGTCCTATCCGTAGTTCTTCTAGTTTTTTCCGATTTAATTTATTCCCATTTTCGACATAAACCATATCTCCAACTTTAAATTCTCTATTTTTTCTTTTTGCATCATAGCACATTTTGTTATAGTAGTGTGATTTCGGAGTATTATTAAGAGCTCTTTCTTTATCTCTGATCCAGTCACTGTGTATACAGTCTTCACTTAGCTCATTTGGTAAGATTGTAGCATCTGTCCCATAAAACAAATAGCATGGTGCGTAGCCAGTTATTGAATGAATAGTTTGATAATATTTTTCTACACATTGATGTGCTATTGTAGTCCAAGCTTTTTTTCTCCACTTTCATTTATTTTGCATCTTATCTTGTTCACTAGTGTTTGATTTAACCTTTCATTTATGCCATTTGAAAAAGGCGCATTCACAGCTGCAAATATCATCGTTATTTGGTTGTCACTTAGAAAACGCTTGAATTCTTTGGAATTTATTCCAGGGTATTGATCGCTGAGGAGTGTTTTAATCTTTTGTATTTCTGTGACCTTATTTATTAGTTTTATAAAATCATGTGCATTCTGGGTCTTTGATGTTATAATAAATGCGTACCTTGTGAAGTGATCTACTAGAAGGTGTAGGTATTTTTTGGTTGATTTTGAACTACCAAAACCGCCAATTGTGTCTATTGATATTATTTCAAGAGGTCTTGTGACCGGCCCTAGATATGACATTAATCCGTATTTGTCTTGTCCTCTTGTTTTGTTTTTTATGCAAATTTCACAGCTCTTACAAACATCTTTTATATTTTTTGTTAAATTCTTTGATACATATATTGAACTAACAGTCTTTAGCATTTGTCCAACTCCAATGCGACATAAATCCTCGTGTATTCGTTTTATAAGCTTAATACTGAATTTTTCTGTTAATATTATTTTATCTTTGTTTCTTATTTTTTTGTAGTATACATTATGTTTTTCAATTATTTTGTTTTTGTTTTTTTGTATTTCTTCATTTTTATTCTGGTCTATCATAATATCCTCCAACGTAATTAAATTCACTACTTTTAATTGATCTTCTATATTTTCTTCTGGTTCCAACACGGGGTTTCGGCTTAAACAATCTGTTTCTAAATTTTTTCTTCCTGGGGAATATTTGATTTTGAAGTCATACTGTGAAAGGTAATAAGTGAGGTCACCCAGCTCTTCATCTGTTCTTGCTCTTAAATTCATGTTCTCCAAAGGTTTGTGATCTGAGTAAACTGTAAATGATTTTCCTATTAACCAGTACTGCTAATGTCTCAGTGCTTCCCTGATGGCCAAACATTCTAAATATATAGCTTTTTTCTTTTTTTGTGCTTCATTAAGCTTTTTTGAAAAATAGGCTACTGGTTTTTCTTTACCATCTGTTTGTACCTGTTTCAAAATTGCACCAACGCCCTCCAATGATGCATCGGTATAGATGTTAATTGGTAGATTTTGATCATATATTTCTAGTATCGGCTGTGAACATAAGAGACTCTTTACTTTGTCAAATGCTTGTTGACATTTTTCAGACCAAACAAATTTCTGTTTTTTCCGAAGTAAGTTATGTAGAGGATCTAGTATAATTGCACTTCTTGGTATGTATTCGTGATAAAAATTTATTTTTCCTAAAAATTGTCTAACGTTCCTTTGGGTTTTAGGTATTGGGAAATTCTTTATTGAAATTAGGTTGTCCTTTATTGGTTGTATCGAATCGT